AAGGTGAAGATTATGATATTGTTTCATTAGTGAGCTGCATCATCATTGACTTCTTAATCTGAAGGATGGGTTATTTTTTATATTTTTAAGCAGTTAGAGGTTTAAAAATTGGTGGCTCACATACTCTTTGTGGCCTCCCACGGCATGCCAGCCCCGTGGGTGCTGCCTGTGCAGCAGCCCAATTTACTAAATGTCACTTGCAGTGGAATAAGCAGCTATGAAATAACCTGCGTTAGGAGGTTGAAGGTTGTTGCTTGATGAGTCTCTCTGATGACATTCCTGTGAGACCGACCGACTACATGGCCACATGCAGTCAGTGCAGAAGACTTCCTGCTTCAGAGGCATTCCAAGGCAGGGACAAAGTTTTCCTTGGAAATATCAGACAGTTGGGTATGGGGAGATGCAGGTGTGTATGGTATTCTGAGGTTCTCAGTGCAATCTACTAACTAGCTGAACTAATGAATTAAACTGCTTAACACCCTAAGCTAGGTGTGCTTTACCTCGTTTTACACATGAGACACAGAAATACTGACCTGGTCAGGGCCACGCAGTTAATCAGTGGCAGACCTGGGGCTTGAACTGAAGAGTCCCAGGTCCAAGTCCACTGTAGCAGTGCATTCTCCCTCCTTATTTAAGCACATATCCCATTTGTTAGTGAAGCTGGGAAAGGAAATGCACAAAAACTTCTGTCAAGGTTAGTATATGCAATATTAAATGTTTGCCAGAATGTGGCAGTGGTGTTTTTAAGACCAAGGGGAATTGATTTTCTCCAGCCTTGTTTTTTATCCATCATGAGCCAGCATGGCTAACACATCAGCTGCTGCTCATTGTCTTTCCCACAAAAGAAAGATGAATGAAGGATGCACTCTCCAGACTGCCTCTAACATGGCTAGGAAATCAAACCATGCTTCCAGTTGGCTCATCTCTAATTAACGTGCCCAGTTTGGCTAAATCAATATCATTAGTCAAATGATAATTTTTACTCATGTTTGTCATAGCACCATGCATATAGTGCATCACCTTCGAGTTGGGTATTTGTCATATAATAAACCCTATGCACATAAAAAAGTGAGCTAATTTTACTACGTGCCACCGTATCACTAGCATAATGGAGAGAGATATTAGCCATGCCACACCAGTCCTTAAGAGATGTCAAGTAATTGAGAACCCTAACTCTAGTAGACAGCAATTGGATATGTGTGTAATTAAATCCATCACAAACCCCACTCAAAATATAATTTATTTTGTGCAAAGGAAGTCATATCGCGTTACCCACTTGCCAACATTAAGAGAAAAAAATATAAATAGAGATGATTACATTTATGTAGCCTATCATTTCAGAAGCAGAAAGAGCTGGTGGATATTAAAGGAAAAGATTCTAAACAAACTTCTCTGTGTATTCAGGACACACATTAGTGCAGTAGGGCTGGAGTCATTTGAAGCTTAATTAGGTTTTCTTGTCTGCAGACACCCTCAGTGTGTATGTTCTTCCTCTGTGTTATCTCACAGTAACAAAACTAAGTTTGTGAACCAAGATAACATTAAAAAAGGAAGAATCTGAGGTTTCTATGCTATAAACTGTTCTGGGTGGACAGGGCTTCTGCCTGTAGCCCTACTGGAATACTTGTTCAGGGATTTGCTCATGCTGAGCAGTGTGTAGGATTGGGGAGCTAATTTTTCAGGTGCTTCCTATAATGTACATGGCATCTGCCAGAGAATTTACCAGCTGTCATGAGGATGTATTTTATTTGTTTAGTTATATAGCAACAAAAGTATTCTACAGTAAGTATTTTAGTATCAATCAGGCAATAATTTCCTGCCTTTGGGATTATTCATCAGACACTGGAAGATACTTCTATCTTGTGTTTCATTGGTAGAGGGATTTTCATCACATAATATCTTGTTGCAATAACTTTAGTTTGAACCACATAGAGCTGGAACTCACTGACACTCCAGCTCACATAGGCAAGTTATACTCTGTTACTCCCCAAATGAGAGTGTCAAAGTGAATTCATAAACATCTTCCCCCAAATTCTCCTTTATGTTGATCTATTGCTCTTGTGGAGAGTCACATAAAGCACTAGTAAGTGACTCATACTGGATTCTGAGCTTGTGAGGTGCTGAACACCCTACAGTCCCATTGATTTCTGTGGGAGTTCAGAGCAAACTGTCTTAGGGGCATGGTGACAAATTGCTATAGCCCATGTTAAGTGTAACAATGACAATCAGAAGTGTGAATTTGCAGAGCGAATATTATTTTTGTTGCTTTTTTCTTGTAATTACAGTGCCCTTAGCAATGCAGTACGTTTTATTTCTACAACCTGCAGGAAAAGGAAAGCCTGTCTAAAATGTGCTTCAAAGACCCTTTTGGTTGATTGCCCTAGTTGGAGATGAGACTTTGCTTGCTACCTCTCCTCCATTCCAGGGCATATTGAATTGTTCATAAAATTGCTGCAAACAGCACCTCTTGAGAGATGGTGTAGTGCCTTGCTTGAGTGCTTCATTAACCATGGTTAGGCTCAGACTCAAGGGGTGATTAGACAGAGAGGGAACAATATGTTTCATAAGGCATTATTAGCAGAACATCTGAACTTTCGACTCACCTCATACACAGCAATTCGTGTACGTGAAGAGGATTCAAGTTCTTTTTTTTTTTTCCTGCTTGGTACAAAACAAAATGTCTGTGGATGCAGCCATGGACCATTCTAAGTTCACACAAATGACCAGGTCAGCTTCTCCTCCCAGTGGTGGACATGGAATCCACTCAGAGTACTGCAGGCACAGAAAATCCAAGTTAGGCCGACTTCACCCAGTTAGTTCCCACAGCTTGTTCTGAGTGAGCATGGAAAGCTCATCATTGCCTGATGCTAGGAGTATATCGAAGTGTGCTAGGGAACTTCCTGTGTCCAGTAGCAGGGTCCACATGGCTAATTAGTGCATGGCGCTCTGGTATGCTGTAGATTTACACCCCTACTTGTTGCTCACTAACTCTCCAGCTAGACAAGCCCGTAGGAAATGCATTTCAGTTGAGACAAACACACAAAAACCTTGTAATGTAGTTGTCTACATCACAGAAACCTCTAGTTTAAGATTTCAGCACATGGTGGTCCAGTGTGGAGGACGTGATTTAAAAGAGAAGTGGGTAAAAATTATTAATAGAACTGCACATTAGTTTTAAGGCTGCCTCTCACAGAGGGACATCATAATGTTTTCTAATTGGGGCTGATAAAAATGTAGCATTACTTGTAGGCTCCTCAGAGAAGCCAGTTGTGAAATTGGGTTTGTATTAAACCTAATAATGGAAAATTAAGTATAGTATGTCTGTTGGAAATGGCCTGTCATAAAAATAGTCTCCTCTCCATTATGGGAGGTTAATAGGGAATAGGTAAGGAAAGATGCATTGGGGAAACGAAGCCAACTAGGAGAATTAATAAGCCTTGAAATTCCCTCTGTTCAGAATTCTCACACTGTAATTAGTAACAGTATTAGAATTATTATACAAATGCTTAGATGTTACTCTTCCTTAAATTCCACATTTATTGATGTTATATGTGTTGGTGGTTTTGCTAAAGCCAAATACATATTTATTTTTGTGTGTCGCATGCATGTTGCTTTATTGAAGCCTGGATTTTGAAAAATATCTTAACACCAGTGACTTGGTGTAAGAGATGCTGATCACCTGTAACTCCAGTAGATTTCAGAATGAGTGGAAGGTGGTCAACATCTCTGATAATTGGATAAGTTAAAACTCTGTAGTGTTTTCTGCAAGAGGAGGAGTGTTCACCCTGCTGCGATAGCCAAAATTCAGCTTGAGCAGTTATAGTCCATCTCCCTAAAATTACCCTCAAGTTTCAGCTGGATTAGTTTGTTCTCTTTGCCCCTCCTAAAAGACTGTAGTAGTGCTGCTGACAAGGAATAGCTTCTAGTTTCTATCCCTTTCCAATAGTGAGCAAGTAATCCCTTTGTATACAATCTCCAGTCACTTTGGATCATTCTGGATAGAAGAAGCTATATATTGGATATGTGAATGTGGTGATAGTGGTTAGAACGATTAGTAACTAATGCAACTGACTAAGAGCCCTAGGAGATCCCTAACGAAGTGCCAAGACAAAGACTCACTTGATCAAATGCTTGAATTAAGTTGGCTCATTTGGAAAGAAACAAGAACTAGCAACTAGATGTTGCATCTAAGCAGAGCTTCTGTAGTTAAATAGAAGAATCCTGGTTGATGATCATGTGGTGCTAGAAGTGCTTTCTATTCTATTGTCGATTAGGAGTATTGTGCCATACAGTTAGGGTTCTGCCTGAATATATGAAGCTACAGTCTTCATTCACCTAGTGCTGGAGATGTTTTTCTAAATCCATTTCTTTTGAAAAGGTACATTTTTTCTGATAAATTTACATTTCTGAAATATAAGTGCAAGTTAGCCATATTTCTGTGCAGTTTTGTTGTTCTTTCAGATGACATTACATTTCTTAAACTGAAATATATATGTTAGGCCTAAACTTTACTTCAAAGGTGACTAACAATTTTGGGTTTCCAAATTTCTGGGTGCCCAACTTGAGATGCTGAGCACTCACTCTCTGAAAATCAGTCCTATCTATGGTTGAGCACCCAAAAATCACTAGTCACTTGTGCAGGGCAGTCATGCTTTTTGAACAGAAGTATATCATTCCAGTGGAGTTGCCATGCAGATTTCATGATTGTAACATGCATTATTTCTTGAGATATGCCATTTACTTCTGTCACTGTTGTGCCTGTTTGGCTATCCACACCTGTTCCTGTCTCCTTCTGATTGCCTCACTGACTGATTACACTACAAATATTTGAGCATGCCTTAGTCTTTCTGGATGGTTTGGGCATGTGTGGTTTTGCACTTGCTTCTCCTCTTTATTTTACCTGCATAGACCTATGGGGGGGGGGGGGCAAACAGCACAGGAATGAAACCGGAAATAATGGATAGGTAAAAGCTTGTTTTGTCTCCCTGTCTTTAAAACAGAGAGCAGCCACGGGGAGATGACCCAGCCAACTCTGACCATCCAGACCCATCCGTACAGGAGCTGTGAGCCAGTGGAAATGTCCTACCCCAGGGGGCAGTTCCAACCAGCCATCCGAGTGGCCGACTTGCTACAGCACATCACCCAGATGAAACGAGGACAAGGCTATGGATTTAAAGAGGAGTATGAGGTGAGAGGAACATTTGTTCACATAAGTAAATAGATAAGTGGCAGCAACTCTCAAGTCAGGATGGAGGCTCAGGAGTAGAGAATGATCGTTTTAAGAGGCTTTTTTATTAATTGAATTAACTGTAATCATGTCCCCCTTTTTGTGTTTCTGTGGCTAGGATTATAACCATATTCCTTTACCTTCTGTAGTGGCTCCAAGCCCACTTCTCCTGTAGTGACAGTGATTATTGGGGGCTATCTGCTTCATAGGTCCACGTAACAGGATTATAGCATTGTAAGAGGAGATGGAGAACATTTACAAGACCATTGGATCCATTCCTTTGCGAGTGTGGATTATAATTTAGAGTCCAAGGCTACCCTTTCCCCAAAAGAGTGGGTATAGCAGAGATTGAACAGGTGAAACAGTGAAAGAATCAGAGCTCCCTTCTCCCGTTATCATTGGTGTAGTATAACTAAAGTAATGCAAGCCAAGTCTGGATAAGCAAGCAAGCTTTTTCTTTTGATTCCTACTCCGTTGCAGTCCCAAATGCTTTGTAGCAATTGATCAAATTAAAGCATAAATTCATGAGCTGCATGTGGAACAGTAAACTCAAAGCAAGAGATACCCTTAAAGAATTATTGGCTTTTCCATTGTGCTAGAACCTCTGGCTCAGAAGTGAGAGATAAGAAGCTAGTTATTAAAAAGAGGGCACAAAAACCAACAGGGTGGTGAGAATTAGAGAACATCAGAGAAAAAGATGGTAGAAAGAAAGATAACAAGAGACCAAGGAGGATATGAAAGAGAACTATGCAGCACCTGTATGGAGAGGGGTAGGAATGAGGAAGAGAAGGAACCAGCACAATCAGTCAGTGAAATTCAGCTCTGGCAAGCTGTAATGGTAATGAGTGAAATAAGCTTTGTGGGGTGGCCATAAGGTGATATGTTGCAGCTTCTTTAAAATGATTCATAAATAACAGCAGCTGTGAGAAATGTGCAACTTAATGAAAGCAGTTTATTTTTAAATACTGTGAGTAAGAGAGCAATGGGCATGTAGCACTTGTGCTGGCTTATATTGTTATAAAAAGAGTATGGGAATTACCTTTCTGGGCAAGCCGAATAGCTCTGTTTTGATCTGACGACATTATAGACTCATAAGGGTGAATGTTTCTAGTTACTATAGGATGGCAGAGAGCAGATAGGGCCCAATAACTAGCATCTCCACTATCCTGCATGCTAGGTTGACAATTAATTGATGGGCTTTGCGTAATATTGAAACAATGGGGTCTATTCTCTTATAGGTCCAAAGGGGATTTACTCAAGTAAACCCTTGCCCCCATGAACAGTAATCAACTTTGCACGTCACTCTCTTGCAGATGCTCCAAAGATTTAGGTTTTGATGCTAAAAGAGAAAATAAACAGTTTCTAGAGTGCACGTGGCTCTTGGCACCGGCGTTGGTAATTCTCAAAATAACCCATTAGCACAGGGATCGGCAACCTTTAGCACACGGGCCGGTTTGTTTACCTGCCGCGTCCGCAGGTTCGGCTGATTGCGGCTCCCACTGGCCGCGGTTCGCCGCTCCAGGCCAATGGGGGCTGCGGGAAACGGCACGGACCGAGGGATGTACTGGCCGCCACCTCCAGCCGCCCCCATTGGCCTGGAGTGGTGAACCGAGGCCAGTGGAAGCTGCAATCGGCCGAACCTGTGGATGTGGCCGGTAAACAAACCAGCCCAGCCCGCCAGTGTGCTTACCCTGGTGTGAGCCGCATGCCAAAGGTTGCTGATCCCTGCATTAGCATAAAAAACATCAATGCAACTCCAGCTCCACGAGATAGGCCTCTCCCCAGAAAGTGCTAGCCATGTGTATATATAATGATAACGATATACTGTAGATTTACATAACCCATTTCACTCCAAGAGATACCACTAGGTATTCTGCAGGTTCACAAATCACATGCAAAATCCTGCCCTTTATTAAGGGGCACAACTGTTCTGAAGTCATCTAGATTTGCTTGATCGGTTAGAGAGAAGAATTTGGCTTTCAGTACACAGTATGTAGGGAATGCTTCACCCGCTGCCAAAATGCAGCCGCAATCACCAACAACAACACTACAAAGTTAGGGAGGGTGACCATATCCTGTTGAAACTACTAAGGGTAATTTCAAATTGACAGAATATATTGTCCCAAATTGGAATCTGGCTGAACAGAAGGCTAACAACTTTATTTTGCAAAAAGCACTCCAAGATCTTTAATCACAAATGGGCTAGACCTCTGTTTTATTTATATTGTGTTTTTATACATTATATAGTTTAGTACCTGTGCCACCTACAAATACATTTGTCCTTTAAAGAGCTGATTTTCTACCTTACTTTGCCAGCAGGTCTCATAAATTACAATCTATTTAGTGATGTGATATAAAATAATTTTACTCTTATGAAACATCTATTTGAGCCAGGATCATCCCTCATCCATGGCAGTCTCTTATCTCTGCAAATTTTCTCCCTGTGCTACTGCTGGGAAAATGAATCACAGATTTATTTTAAAAGTACCTCTCTCCCCCATAAGTTTGTAATAATGGCAAAGTTTTAAGCCAAGTGCGCATGCTAAAACGTACATGCCTGTTAGGTGTGCAGAACTCTGCATTGGTGTGTACAAAGCAGGATCTGTGTGTGCATTTTGTGTTGTGTGAGCACTCGGTTTACACTTTGAATGCAGGGATTTGTCAGCAAACAAGGAGCAGGTGCATTTTTTTGCGCATCTGATATACCTATGGTTCAGTGTTTGACCTGGCCCTTCACAAGTGCTGTTGTTATTTAATAAATTTATATTTATATATATATATATATATATATATATATATATATATATATA